GTTATTTATATATAGGGTTGTCAAAATTAATAATAATACCAGATATATTTCTAAATTTTTTATAGCTTTTTGCAGTTTGTATAAAATTAGTATTTCAACTAAACAATTTAACGTTTATGACTAAAGATATCACATCATGCGAAACAAAGTATTTTCGTGTACTTTATTGTTCTCATTAACTCATAAAGTATAGAGTACAATTACCTGAAATAAAGAACAATACTTTATTATAAATTACGGCTCGCAACCCTAGTTATATATGAAGATAAATGTAAATTTTAGGCACAGCAGACTTCTACGGCTTCAACTATTACACAAGCCGGCTCATCAGGCGAGCGTTACCAGGAGAAAGGGGCTATTGGTTTTCGAATGGGTCGCCTGAGCTTGACGCTATGTTGGAACTGCCACCAGGAGCGAGACACACCTCTATTGATATGCTACCGGTACGCTTACAATAGTATTATTTTGTTTGTAAAGCTATTACCTAGGTAACACTGAAAATGTTTAGAAAATGTAAAACGGCTTAATGTAGAAAGTTGCCAATACTTTTATTGTTTTTCGAAGTAATCTCCTTTCCTCTCTACACATCGTCGCAATCGATGGAGGAGGGATGATCTTAATGAGGAAAATATAAGTAGAACAAAGAAATCTCAGGCCAAGTTTATATTTCTAAGATTTTTTCAAGCGCAATTGTTTTTAAAATTTAACAGTTGACACTTATTATATTATTAATAACTAGCGGCCCGTCCCGGCTTTGCACGGGGACAATTATTTTTATAAAATTTTTTGTAGATATAGTTATGTTCTTTAATAGTGTGGAACATTTTTTTGTTCTGTCATCAATAGTTTTCGCAGCGTATGCGATGAAAGATATTTTATAGGCATTTTTTTACACATTGGGTAATATTATCATAGTTTCAGTAGGGATCCTTATTTTTCTTGCAATTAAAATAGCCTATATTAATCAGTGATAATGTAGCATTCAAATGATGAAAGAATTTTTAAAATCGGTTCATACAAATTACAAATCTTGCCTCTT